CTATTCATTCATTCAAACATACCATTCATTCATTTAACCCATCTGTGCCTTCATTCCTATCTTTTTACAGTTCTCCTTTCAAGGGAGATCCCTAGATGCCAGGGAAGGGCTCTTGATCCAGGGAATTCTCAGAGTAAACATTATTAATTTAATAGTATATAAGTAATCTCAAAATTGGATCGAATTTAATTTCCTCCCATTATTCATCCCTTTCCTCATCACCACCACCACCTTCCCAGAACCACTGTTTTCCCCTCTTATCTCTCTCACCTCCCCCTCCTTCCTTTCCTTGTATAGGTCCCCCTTCTCCTGCTGGTTCTCCCTTACCCCCTGCCCTCTTTGATTCTCCTTCCCAGAGTACCTTTTCTATCATGATATTGTCTGTCCAGACAGGAGCTGTAACAGTCTCCCCAACAATAGTGCTCTCAGTCATACTAAAAGCTGAAAGGTTCTGTTTTTCCTATCCCATTTTTTTAGCTTACCATTTTTTCCCTTCTCATTTTCCCTACCTCCCTTTCTTCCCATTTACCCCCTTTCCTATTTTCTCCTTTCATTTTCCCTTCTTGCCCTTCTTCCATTATTTCCCTTCTCATTTTGTATTATTGATTCCCTTATCATGTTTTCTTTCCTTTTTCTCCCATTTTTCCTGCTGCTTATTTCTCTTAAGTCATTGAAAAATTATGCTTGAAACTTCTACTAAGGCCTTACATGACACCTGTTCTTATATAATGGACAATTAATTATTATTATTCTAATACATTTAGGTATTGTAATGAAAATCATTGATATAGTTTGATGTTCAAAGTAGATGGAAAATTAAGATCTATGCAAGTGTCTTCATTTTTTATTTGTTTTTCATGTCTTTTTTTTTTATGAATGTTAGTGGGCTTTGGGATTATTAATATTTTGAATCTTATAGTTGTTGCCATTAAATTTTAAATAAAATATCTGCTTGAAGTTTTGCTTTCTTTAATCTTTAAAAGCAATAGAATATAATCTTAATTTCTGTATTAATGGGAAGGCAATATCAAAGATAAACTTTAATTATTAGTGATATATTAATGCCACTGCTTATCAGAATGGAAAGGCTTGAATCAGAGGAAGGTGAAAATGCACATCACAGAGATGCTGAGTATATGGACGAGGGAGATCCAGAAGATCATGAAAGGTCACGGGATCGAGAGTGTCATGGGTCTGTTCCGGAAGATGATCGTGGGAGAAGGGATGTTGGCAGAGGAAGTAAGGAGAATGAAGGTGGCCCTAGTGGTGTCCAGGTAACAATTCGTGCTGATGGTGAGCGAGCAGTCAACAGTGATGGGCATGTACGTAGAGTTGCTGGACGACTCTTTGTAGAACTGCGGTGTCCTCATTGCCCAAACCAAAAGTCAATTACTTTTAAGGTATGCCTTTTTAATCAGGGTATTTTTTTGTACATTGTCTATTCCATTTTATATCTGCAGAAGTGAACTGTGTTATGCCTACTGACAGTTTTACTTCTAATAAAATATTTGATATCTTATTTTCAGTTTTTTTTTAATTTAGCACACCAGTTGCCTCCCACCAAGGCAAGGTGATCCAAAAGAAGAAATGTTTTTACCATCATTTACTCATATCACTGTCTTGCAAGAGGTGTGCCAATACTACATTTCAGATGCTCTCAGAACTGCAAATAGTTCCTTCAGAGTGCAGGCACCGTACTTCCCACCTCCAGGGCTGAAGCCCAGCTAACTGGTTTCCCTGAATCCCTTCACAAAATGTTAACTTGCTCACATTCAGCAGCTCATCAAATCCCAAAAACCATTTGCCTCTGCTCCTATCTAACATGCTCATACATGCCTGCTGAATGTCAAAGACCTTCACACACAAAATCTCCTTTACCTCCTCTCTTCAACCTTTCCTAGGGTAACCTTTACACTGCACTACATATTTATACACCCTACAAATCCTGTTTTGCTCCACCCTTTCTAAATGTCAAAACCACCTCAACAACCCCCCCTCATCCCTCTGGATAATACTTTTAGTAACTTGCACCTCCTCCCAATCTCCAAATTTGAATCCTCTGCATAATATTTACCCCACATTGCCCTCAGACATATCTCCACAGCCTCCAAATGCCTCGCAGCAACATTGACACAACCCATGCCTTACATACACGTAAGAGTGTTGATACTACTTTACTCTCATACATTCCCCATTTAGCCATCATGGATAATGTTCTTTTTTTCCCCAGATGCCTTGATGCACCACTCGTCTTTTTACCCTCGTCATTTCTATGGTTCACCTCATTTTCATATACTCATCAGGTGACAAATCCACACCCAAATATCTGAACACATTCACACTTTCCATACTCCTTACACTCTGATATCCAATTTTTCATTACCTAAATTGTTACTCTCATCACCTTGCTCTTTTCTATGTTCACTTTTAATTTCCTTTTACATGCCCTCCCAAATTCGTCCACCAACCTTTGCAACTTTTCTTCAGAATCTCCCAAAAGCATTGTGTTTTAGGCTTAAAGCTACTATGACAACTCCAATTTTGTATTAGATTCTTCATATTTTAATCCCATATCTCTCCATAACACCTAGCATTCACTTTTAGACAACCCCATTTATAAATGTTAAACAACTATATGGACATCAAACATTCCTGTCTGAGGCCTACTTTCAGTGGAAAATAATCTCTCCCTCTACTGCATACCCTAACCTTAACCTCACTATCCTCTTAAAAACTCTCTAACTCTCTTAAGTAACCTACCATCTATTCCACACACTTGCAACATCTGCCACATATCTACCCTATCATATGCCTATTCTAAATGCATGATTACTATGAAAACCTCTTCACCTTTATCTACATGTTATTCACTTGTATGCTTCAATGTAAACACTTGGTATACACATCCCCCTACCATTCCTAGAGCTTCCTTGTTCATCTGTGATCCTGCTCTGTCTTACCCTTAACTCTTTCAATAATAGCTACCATACCCATTATCTGGTATACTCAACAGGCTTATTCTTCTATAATTTTTATACTTTTTTTTTATCCCTCTTTCCTTTATATAAAGGAACTATGCACACACACTGGTAATCCTTAGGTACCATCTTCTCGTTCATACATTTATTGAATAAAAATACCAACCACTTCAAAACTATATCCCCACCTGCTTTAAAGTTATCCATGGTAATTATGGAATTACATAGCAGTTTACAGTTACACAAATAGACGTTCTTTCAATGCTTCTTTAACCATTTTCTTCTATTATTCTTTACTCCTATGCCTATTTGCTTACAAGCACTGTACATTGCAGTTTTTCTTCAATACTTCATTGGGCATTGACCACCAAAAAGATTACTGATCTCATTTGCCCTGTTGCGGTTTTCAAAAATTCACTTCTACCTTTTGCATATTTTGTAGGTTTGTGTTTATCATGTCTTCTTTCTTCTGTCTTCTTAAATGTATTTCCAAAGGTTTGCTTTTTTGTAATTCTGAGATCAGTTTTGTTTGACTATTGGTAATGATAATGGAAAATTGTTGGAGAATAGCAATTTAGTATATTTTTATTTTTTTTATTATCACACTGGCCGATTCCCACCAAGGCAGGGTGGCCCGAAAAAGAAAAACTTTCACCATCATTCACTCCATCACTGTCTTGCCAGAAGGGTGCTTTACACTACAGTTTTTAAACTGCAACATTAACACCCCTCCTTCAGAGTGCAGGCACTGTACTTCCCATCTCCAGGACTCAAGTCCGGCCTGCCGGTTTCCCTGAATCCCTTCATAAATGTTACTTTGCTCACACTCCAACTTAATTTTGTTGGCATCTTTTTATGTTCAGAGCACTGAATAAATCCTACAGGTCATTGAATTTCTAATCTGATTTGTCACTGTCATAAGTTCTTGTAATCCTTCTAATAGCTCCATTTGGAGAATTATTCACCTTCCCTTTGACTCCATGCATTTTTAGTGGAGCCTGGCAGTTGTGGTGGGCAACATGACATGGTATCCTTGTTTCCTATTAATACCGGAGTCCTTGGGAAGTTATTAATTTACTGTGTAAAGGTGGGGGCTTTGAACCTTTTCTAGAACATATCATGTCTGTTTTTTTTTTTCCATTTCCCACGGGTTTTCCTTGTAATTTTAATTGTCCATTTGAGGTATTTTCATGAAATACAGTAGGGCCCCACTTACATGGCGGGTTAGGTTCCAGGCTGTTGCCGGAAAGCAGACTTCGCCGGAAAGCAGAACACCATTTATTCCATTTATAAATAAATTCCAGACAACAAGTTTACACTAAATTATATTAAGTTAATAATAGGACTAGACATTAAAAAACACAAAGTAAAATACATACACAGTACATTCATTACCTATCTTAAAGTATTTGTAATCTTAATGTAGGGTGAGAGGTGAGTAGTACTTATTTATAGGAAGTCAGGTGTAGATAGCCCTGGCTCCCCGTCTCATACTTAATATACGATATTTAAAACTGCCCAGAGAGTTAAAATACACATACAGTACACTCATTATTTACCTTAAAATATGTGTAGTCTTAATGTAGGAAGAGAGGTGAGTAGTATTTATTTGTAGGAAGTCAGTGTAGGTAGCCGGTAGGTGTAGCCCACCTGGGCTACACCTACGGGCTACCTACGCTGTGGCCCAGAGCCATATTATTAGCATAGACATACCTTGTTCACTGAATATAATCGTTTCTAACAACTACCTTTAGATGCCATCATAAACGAAGGGAGAAGTAATGAATAATTCATGCCGAAAATTGTAAACAAAAGTGAAGTGGGGGAGTGGCTGGGCCAAACGCAGATTCATACACGTTTTCTCTGGTGCCTGACCAGAGAAAACGTAATGTTGTCCCTCTGCCCGGCTACCACACAGGTCCACAAGTATTATTATCAGAGCGCATGTAAAATATGCAATATATGCCAGACAACAAGTTTACACTAACTTATACGTATTAAGTTAACACTAGAAATAGGCATTAAAAGCACAATAAAAGGTAAGATACACAGAGTACAAGTACACTTATTACTTACCTTAAAATATTAATATTAATGTGTGAGAGGTGAGTGGCAGGGTGTTTATTGAATAAAATCAGAATGGCACACAATCATCCTCTAACTTGGCACTTAAAGCAAGAATCCTATGACTCCTCTTTTTATCACAGCTAAGCTTAGATGCCATCGTCAGTGAGAGCCAACTAGGTAACGAAAGGGTAAACGAGAGAGAGAGAGAGAACGAGATGCAGAGTTCAGACAATGTAAGAACACAAACTGAACAGGTAGTGGGCAATCACTTGGTCAGGCGAAATATATGCGTATTAATGTGTGTCTACTTTTAGTTCATTTACGTACGTTTGTAAGAGTTTGTAAAACATTTATCTCACAATATTTTTTTTTATTATAATAATTACCTCACAATACAAATGCTCTTACATTGTGTACAAGTTGTACAAGTTAGTACAGAATAAACAAACAGCAGCACTTCCATTCTCATGCAACACACCATTTTTTAGAGAGAATGAAGATATTATTATTATCATAAAAAAGCGCTAAACCCACTAGTGTTGTGAACTGCTATATATGGAGTGAAGGCAATGAAAGGAATATTTTTCTACAGTTATCCCCCGGAGTTTGACCAAAGAAAACGTAATTCTTCCCACACTACCTACACAGTCACTTTGTAAACAAATCTCATATTTACATCAATTTTTACTCTGTGAGTGTATTATGTTTATATGCTATGTAACGGAAAATATCATAGATGTATTAATGAAAATGTCTATACAGTGGACCCCCGGTTAACGATATTTTTTCACTCCAGAAGTATGTTCAGGTGCCAGTACTGACCAAATTTGTTCCCATAAGGAATATTGTGAAGTAGATTAGTCCATTTCAGACCCCCAAACATACACGTACAAAAGCACTTACATAAATACACTTACATAATTGGTCGCATTCGGAGGTGATCGTTAAGCGGGGGTCCACTGTATTAATGTAAAGTAAGGCATTTAATGTGCCCAAGAATGATTATTATGTAGTATTGGCATTATGAGTAGAGAGCAATTTTAATGTGTACCACCTGCAACCAGCAGTGTGTATGTATGTTTAAGTACAGGTCCACATAAGTATAATTATCAGAATACACATGAAATACGCAATAACTTTAAAACACTTGAAATTTTGGAAAGTTTCCAGACATAATACCCTTCAAGGAAGGTTCCTTGATGTTGGTGAGGGGCTCTTGATTTAGGGAATTGGATCTGTGCTTCAGTTCCCCGAATTAAGCCTGAATGCCTTCCACATCCCCCCCAGGTGCTGTATAATCCTACGGGTTTAACGCTTCCCCCTAGATTATAATAATAATAATCCAGACATAATAGATGTGGCCATGGAGAATGGAAACAAACTGGGTGGGGTGCACCATATTTGAAAGACCGCTTGCTGTGCCACATTTTGATCATAATTTGACATCACCATATTAGTGGAACGCTGTAAAGTGGGACCTTACTGTATATGTAAACGAGAGGTATAAAAGCTTGTTGTAATTTATTTTTAAATGGATACTCTTTTTAAACTGGAGTCTACTTCCTTTTATAGATGGGAAACACTTCATTGAATAAATTACCATATTCCTATAAATTTCATTCTTTCATGGTAAGCACAATTGCATACATTTTATTGGAATAACAATATTTTGAGGAATTGTTAAATGTTGATGAAGATAGGGAAGCTGTGATTTCGTGTATTGGGCAAGGAGGAATAACATCTTGTAGGAGTGAGGAAGAGCCAGTTGTGAGTGTGGGGGAAGTTCGTGAGGCAGTAGGTAAAATGAAAGGGGGTAAGGCAGCCGGGATTGATGGGATAAAGATAGAAATGTTAAAAGCAGGTGAGGATATAGTTTTGGAGTGGTTGGTGCAATTATTTAATAAATGTATGGAAGAGGGTAAGATACCTAGGGATTGGCAGAGAGCATGCATGGTTCCTTTGTATAAAGGCAAAGGGGACAAAAGAGAGTGCAAAAATTATAGGGGGATAAGTCTGTTGAGTATACCTGGTAAAGTGTATGGTAGAGTTATTATTGAAAGAATTAAGAGTAAGACGGAGAATAGGATAGCAGATGAACAAGGAGGCTTTAGGAAAGGTAGGGGGTGTGTGGACCAGGTGTTTACAGTGAAACATATAAGTGAACAGTATTTAGATAAGGCTAAAGAGGTCTTTGTGGCATTTATGGATTTGGAAAAGGCCTATGACAGGGTAGATGGGGGGGGCAATGTGGCAGGTGTATGGTGTAGGAGGTAGGTTACTGAAAGCAGTGAAGAGTTTTTACGAGGATAGTGAGGCTCAAGTTAGAGTATGTAGGAAAGAGGGAAATTATTTCCCAGTAAAAGTAGGCCTTAGACAAGGATGTGTGATGTCACCGTGGTTGTTTAATATATTTATAGATGGGGTTGTAAGAGAAGTAAATGCGAGGGTCTTGGCAAGAGGCGTGGAGTTAAAAGATAAAGAATCACACATAAAGTGGGAGTTGTCACAGTTGCTCTTTGCTGATGACACTGTGCTCTTGGGAGATTCTGAAGAGAAGTTGCAGAGATTGGTGGATGAATTTGGTAGGGTGTGCAAAAGAAGAAAATTAAAAGTGAATACAGGAAAGAGTAAGGTTATGAGGATAACAAAAAGATTAGGTGATGAAAGATTGGATATCAGATTGGAGGGAGAGAGTATGGAGGAGGTGAATGTATTCAGATATTTGGGAGTGGACGTGTCAGCGGATGGGTCTGTGAAAGATGAGGTGAATCATAGAATTGATGAGGGGAAAAGGGTGAGTGGTGCACTTAGGAGTCTGTGGAGACAAAGAACTTTGTCCTTGGAGGCAAAGAGGGGAATGTATGAGAGTATAGTTTTACCAATGCTCTTATATGGGTGTGAAGCATGGGTGATAAATGTTGCAGCGAGGAGAAGGCTTGAGGCAATGGAGATGTCATGTCTGAGGGCAATGTGTGGTGTGAATATAATGCAGAGAATTCGTAGTTTGGAAGTTAGGAGGAGGTGCGGGATTACCAAAACTGTTGTCCAGAGGGCTGAGGAAGGGTTGTTGAGGTGGTTCGGACATGTCGAGAGAATAGAGCGAAACAGAGTGACTTCAAGAGTGTATCAGTCTGTAGTGGAAGGAAGGCGGGGTAAGGGTCGGCCTAGGAAAGGTTGGAGGGAGGGGGTAAAGGAGGTTTTGTGTGCGAGGGGCTTGGACTTCCAGCAGGCATGCGTGAGCGTGTTTGATAGGAGTGAATGGAGACAAATGGTTTTTAATACTTGACGTGCTGTTGGAGTGTGAGCAAAGTAACATTTATGAAGGGGTTCAGGGAAACCGGCAGGCCGGACTTAAGTCCTGGAGATGGGAAGTACAGTGCCTGCACTCTGAAGGAGGGTTGTTAATGTTGCAGTTTAAAAACTGTAGTGTAAAGCACTCTTCTGACAAGACAATGATGGAGTGAATGATGGTGAAAGTTTTTCTTTTTCGGGCCACCCTGCCTTGGTGGGAATCGACCAGTGTGATAATAATAATAAAATAATAACAAGTAAACAGGACATTGAGGCATAAACACAGCAATATAACCTTTTATTAAATTTTTTTTTAACAAATATTTTACAGAGCTCCTTGAGCAAAGCTGTCCAGTAAAAACTAAATTTTTTAAGTGGTACTGATTTACCCCAAATGCTTTACTGCTATATTGGTAAATGCACAGTAGAAATTTTTAGCTATATATGTTTTGGGGAATTTTCTATTGTGTATTGGACACTCAGTTGTACAGTTGTTTAATTCTTGGCAAGCAAAGTTTGTAGAGAAAGCAAACTGTAGAAGCTCTATTTTTTTTTTTTCAGGAATATAAACTGCATCTGGTGAGTGATCATCACAAGTCACAGTTAAATAGACTGGCTAGGAAGCATTCAGTGGTGTTACGTAAAATACGAATCCAACAGCGGCAGGAGCAGAAAGAAATTGAAGCTAAATGGAGAGAAGAAAATGGAGAAGAATTTAAAACTGCAGTCTCTAGGTAAAATTAAGTAATGAAAATTTTTAGCTTCATTTTATGAAATTGAGTGTGATAGAGGCAAATTAATGTAGTTTCACATTAATATATTTCTTCTTTCAACAAACCGGCCGTATCCCACCAAGGCAGTGGCCCAAAAAGAAAAAACAAAAGTTTCTCTCTTTAAATTTAGTAATATGTACAGAAGAGGTTACTAGCCCCCTTGCTTCCGGCATTTTAGTCGCCTCTTACGACACGCATGGCTTATGAAGGAAGAATTCTGTTCCACTTCCTCAATGTATTTATAATAATAATATTTACTAATAAAGACATGCCTGTAAAACAGCTTTACGTCTTTGATATAAAGTTGTCTGGCCCAGTTGTGCAGGCTATTAAAATGCTGTATCTTGCATGTCCATTGGTTTTTGCAAACAGTTATGCCATGATTGGCAGTGTTACTTGGCAGTGAGTTCAGATGCATTTGCCACCATTCACTCAATCACTATAGTCTCCTATATTTACTTCCCTTCATTTAATTGCTGGGATCGAGTTCTACCTCCCAGTCCTACCCCTCAACTTGCCACTTGCTAGATTCACTCCCTAGCCTTGTGTCCTATTATTATACCTTGTCTAAAAGCTATATATAGAGCCTGCCTCTGCCACTTCGAGATCATTTCACATCCCCACTACTGAGACTGAAGAAATACTTCCAGACACCCCTGTGCCTTATCTGTGGCTTTAACCTTCAGCTGTGTCCCCATGTATCTGTTTCTCACCTCAAACACCCTGTCCTTGTCTATCCTATCAGTTCCTCTGAGTACTTGGTATGTTATCATTTCTCCCTTAGTTCTTCCGTCCTCTGATGCCATTAGATTCAATTCTGTTAGCCTTTCCTCATAGCTTATGGCCCTTAGCTCTGGAACAAGCCTTATTGACTATTTTACATCTCCTATTTCTTAACCTGCTTTTTCAGGTGTTGATTCTATACTGGTGCTGTATACCCCAAAATGGGCCTGACATATATGTTGTATGAATTACCTCGAATGACTCTTTGTTGAGATTTAGCTGCAACATCCCCACCCTTGCCTTCAGAGTGCAGTCACTTCATATAAATCATCATCATTCAACAAGCTGACTGTATCCCAGCGAGGCAGGGTGGCCCAAAAGGGAAAACAGAAGTTTCTCTTTATAGATTTTGTACTTTATACAGGAGAACGGGTTACTAGTTCCTTGCACCCTGCATTTTAGTCACCTCTTACGACCTGCATGGCTTACAGAGGAAGAATTCTGTTCCACTTCCCCACGGAGAGCTTTGTGTGTTATATATATGTTATATATATTTATACATGTATATGCTTCTAAACTGTTGTATCTGGGTGCCTCTGCAAAAACTGATTATGTGTGAGTGAGGTGAAAGTATTGAATGATGAAAGTATTTTATTTTTGGGGATTTTCTTTCTTTTTGGGTCACCCTGCCTCGGTGGGAGATGGCCAACTTGTTGAAAAAAAAAAAATCACTGAAAAATATTATTGATGTATAAATCTTTTATTTCTCCAGAGATGTGAGCTGTACAGAACATAGGCATACAAGTACAACTGCTCACAAATTATGTAAGCCTGAATATAGACTTAGCAAACAGGTGGTCTGGGCTCAGTAATAATGATTGAATTGCTGAAAAATGTTAGGTTTTTTGAAAAGGGCGGATTCTACTAATGTGACATTTTCTTGTGGCAACATTTTGCACTCTTGTTTTGGTAATGGCTTAACAAAGCTCTCGGAGAGTGAACGTTGCCACAATAAAATGTCGCATTAGTTACACCTGTGTCTTTTTACCTAACAGTTTGAACTCAGATTGAACAGCAGTATTTTGCAGGTTTCAGGGAAAATCTGTGCATTAACCACAAATGAGTTGAAACGTATGCCTTTTCTTGACACACAACATGACCTGTAATATACAGTACAATATTTTTCTCAAGTTACACACCATGTCTTCAAGAAAGCTTTGGACAGGCACCTAAAGTCAGTACCTGACCAGCTGGGCTGTGGTTCGTACGTCAGTTTGTGTTGGGTTAACAGTGACAGCCTGGTTGATAAGGCCCTGATCCACCAGGAGGCCTGGTCACAGATTGGACCACGGGGGCATTGACCCCCGAAACTCTCTCCAGGTATACTGGAGGTAATGAAATCTTTGGTTCCATTCCTGGGAGAAAATTAAAAAATTCATGTGAGATTAAAAGGGAAGCTGTCAAATTCAGTGGAATAAATTACAGGAAAAGAAAGGTCTTCACAAACAGTACAGGAATTATCACTTTATTAAAATGAAACTGGCAAAATTAGCACAAAGTCCAATAGTCAAAGCCAACAGAAATTCCAAATGTGCTGGTATTGTTCTTTGGGTATTTGCGAATACAAACATCCTGATAACATGAATGAAACTTGCAAATAGTACAACAATTCAAAATATTGAGGTTGACTTTTTTTTTTTTTCACAATTTTTTTTTTTACATTTTCAGCACTATTTTTAACTTTCAGTATTTTTTTCCATAGTTTCAGCTAGAATATGGTTTGCATCAGAATCATTTGATCCCTTTGAACAGTTTTTCGAAAGACTAGGGTAGATATGAGAATTAAGGATTTTAGAGGGGAGGGGGATTTGGGTCTACCTACACCTGAAGGATGAAGTAATTTATTTTTCTTGAATATACTGGCCATCTCCCACTGAGGCAGGATGACCTGAAAAAGAAGAAAACTAAAGTTTTTCTTCATTTTAAATTTAATTTATACAGGAGAAGGGGTTACTAGCCCCTTGCTCCTGGCAGTTTAGTTGCCTGTGATAGAGAGTTCCTTTTTTTTATTTATCATGTCTTAAATAAGTATTTATGTAAAGCTGTACAAATTTTTGTTCAAATAACTAGTATTTACATTTTTCTTTGGCAGGTTCTGTAGCACTTGCAAATTGGCTTTTAAATGCTTGGGCTCCAATACTAGTGAAGGCATCAGCTATCACAACCGTAGCAAGTTGCACAGAGTTAGTATGAGACCAATTTGGATTTGTCCTAACCAGTTGTCATTTTATGTGAACATATTTAATTTAAGCTTATTTGTTCATTTATTTTAATCTATTTTAATGTATATTTTCCTAGTATTCAAAGCCAAGTCAATCTTTTATGTCCCAGGTCATCATCTGCCTCTTTATTAAGTGACTGCCATTTGTTTTACCAGCAAATAGCATGTGTTTAAAGCTGCTTTTTCATATATACAATATCTCTAACTACTGTTTATACTATATACAGTGGACCCTCGGCTGACGCCTTTAATTCGTTCCAGAAAGCTAGGCTTTAACCGATTTAGCCTTTAACTGAATTAATTTTCCCCATAAGAAATAATGGAAACCCAATTAATCCGTTCCTGCTGTCAGGAGGCTTGACAGAATAGTACTTCAATATGATGCTATTATCAACTCTACGGCTTATTTATCTATCACAATTCATCTAATATGACAAAAACAATATTAATAAGATAGGAACATGATATATACTCTAGAATGAACAAAATGTGATAATGTATGTGAGGATAAGTGATGGAAGTGTTGTTGGATTTATAATGGCCACTGAGAGAAGCTGTACAGGCTTCTGCCATCACCACTATCCACAAACAATATATGAATGTAATTTATAGTTAAGAAATATTTACATTTTAATTTATAAATAAGAAATATTTGCATTTTAATTTATAAATAAGAAATATTTACATTTTAATTTATAAATAAGAAATATTTGCACTTACCTTGGAGGAGATGTCAGTTTAATTATGTAGTTAGTTTGATGGAGTGTAGCAGATATGCAGAGTGTAGGAAGCATACAGGGAGTGTAGCAGATATGCAGGGAGTGTAGCAGGCATGCAGGGAGTGTAGCAGGCATGCAGGGAGTGTAGCAGGTATGCTGGGAGTGTAGCAGGTATGCTGGGAGTGTAGCAGGTATGCTGGGAGTGTAGCAGACATGCAGGGAGTGTAGCAGGCATACAGGGAGTGTAGCAGGCATACAGGGAGTGTAGCAGATATGAAGGGAGTGTAGCAGGCATGCAGGGAGTGTAGCAGGCATGCAGGGAGTGTAGCAGGTATGCTGGGAGTGTAGCAGGCATGCAGGGAGTGTAGCAGGCATGCAGGGAGTGTAGCAGGCATGCTGGGAGTGTAGCAGGCATGCAGGGAGTGTAGCAGACATGCAGGGAGTGTAGCAGACATGCAGGGAGTGTAGCAGGCATGCAGGGAGTGTAGCAGACATGCAGGGAGTGTAGCAGGCATGCAGGGAGTGTAGCAGGTATGCTGCGAGTGTAGCAGGCATGCAGGGAGTGTAGCAGGCATGCAGGGAGTGTAGCAGGTATGCTGGGAGTGTAGCAGGCATGCAGGGAGCGTAGCAGACATGCAGGGAGTGTAGCAGACATGCAGGGAGTGTAGCAGGCATGCAGGGAGTGTAGCAGACATGCAGGGAGTGTAGCAGGCATGCAGGGAGTGTAGCAGGCATGCAGGGAGTGTAGCAGGCATGCAGGGAGTGTAGCAGGCATGCAGGGAGTGTAGCAGGCATGCAGGGAGTGTAGCAGGCATGCAGGGAGTGTAGCAGACGTGCAGGGAGTGTAGCAGACGTGCAGGGAGTGTAGCATTCATGCAGGGAGTGTAGCATTCATGCAGGGAGTGTAGCAGGCATGCAGGCATGCAGGGAGTGTAGCAGGCATGCAGGGAGTGTAGCAGGCATGCAGGGAGTGTAGCAGGCATGCAGGGAGTGTAGCAGGCATGCAGGGAGTGTAGCAGGCATGCAGGGAGTGTAGCAGGCATGCAGGGAGTGTAGCAGGCATGCAGGGAGTGTAGCAGACATGCAGGGAGTCTAGCAGGTATGCGGGGAGTGTAGCAGACATGCAGGGAGTGTAGCAGGCATGTAGGAGGCGAGAAGAAGGCTAGTTTATTATGCTTCAGTATGACCCTAATATCATCTCTGTGGCTCATTTATCTATCACAATTCATCTAATATGACATAATAAACAATATTAATAACATAGAAACATGATATATACTCTAGAATGAATAAAATGTGTCATAGTGTATGTGAGGATAAGTGATGGAAGTGTTGTTGTTGGGTTTATAATCACAATTGGTGGTGGAGGCTTCTGCCACCACCACCACTATGCACAAACAATGTATGAATGAAATTTATAAATAAGAAATATATGCATTTTAATTTATAAATAAATATTTACATTTTAATTTCTGAATAAGAAATATTTACATTTTAATTTATAAGTTTATTCAGGTACACACAAATAGTTACACAGATTATCACACATAGCAGCATATGTGTAAAGTACCTAGGATAACCCAAAAAAATCAGTGTGACTTATGTATTTCCATTGGGGTCCTTTTATATTTACACTTTTATATTTACACTTACCTTGGAGGAGATGTTAGTTTAATTAGTTTGATGGAGGAGATGCTGGCAGAGGTTTAGAGCGGTGGAAGATACGTAGCAGGCTGGCATATGTTCAGCGGCCCGATACACATACAACAACAATGGAGAGTTACTTTCATGTCGTTTTTCTGTTGCTTACTCGCATAACTTACTTGCTACACTGTTAATTCTACACTTTATTGCTGGCTGGTACTATATCCTTTATCGTTACCTGCTGCTTCAGTATCGTACATATTGTAGAATTGCTGAATCACTGCAGAAGGCACATTCACCCCTCTCTTTTCCTCCTCCACTCTGGTACTTTGCTACGAGTTTTTTCTTGAATTTTATTGTATTTGTTTCCTTCCTTATCACAGGACTGGCACTAGAAACTTTCTTTCAGCCCATGGTGGCTTATGTAGTAGTTGCAAGCACCAAAAACAATTTGAAAAATACAAAATATATCGCATTTACGTGTGGAATCATCCTCAGTGGCTTGTAAACAATGGCACACTGGCTGGTACACAGGGTGAGTGGCCGGGCCCGCTCAGGGTGCCGTGTGGACACGTTTGGGACGAAAGCTCTTAACCGAGTTTGTAGGTGTTAGCTGAGCCAGTTTTTTTACGCCAAAGCGAGGCATTAACCAATTTTGGCGTTATCCAATGCAGGTGTTAGCCGAGGGTCCACTGTACCTGTATTAGAATTTGCCTCATTACAGGATAGTTGTTCAGGCAGACTCCAGTTTTGAAATAGTTTCTTAGCAGTTTTTAATAATCACTTTACACAATGTGAAGTAAACCATCAAAATTTTGGCATGGTTTGATTATACAACGATAAACTATCCTCAATCTATTTTTAATACCTCGTCACAATTTTCTTTTCAGATGCAGCGTCACTACCTACATCCAAGATGTGGTCTTTGCCGCATAACCTTCCCCAGTCGCATGGTTTATGAGCATCATATTGCTTCAATAAACCATTTAAGGGTAAGTTAATATCATCCTCATTGATTACTGTTTTCCATGTGTTTGTGTGGTGGGTAGGATTTCCAGGTGTGTGTATGTGTGTGTGTGTGTCGCGCGCGCGTGCGCGCTCCGGCTCGATAGTCGTCCTTTTCGGAAATCGTTGTTATTTTCGTCCAAACATTGGCTCGCAAATGGTCGGTTCACTCGCTAATCATCCTTTGTCCGGGACGCGTACTCATGCTCTGAGCCGCCTTGGCCTCCCTTCCCAGCCAGTGTGCCATTGTTTACCAGTGAGCGACGGTCCCCTCACTTGTTCATACGAAATATTTCATAATACACCTACCATCCGACTTAAGACCTGCTCGACATATGTCCACTCGACTTACGACCGTGCATCTGGCAGCAGGGCTGGGCCGGCTGATACATACCACTGTACAATATTTGACGACACTTGTGGCGGCAATGCGTCATGCAGGCAGCATCAGTTTGAGTAACCCTGCCCTATCAGCAGCATCATACTGTATTAACTGTACTAACTGGACAGTAAATTTCACCATGACCCCTAAGAGGAAGTCTGAATCTTGCACTGGAGATTGTGGCAAGAAAGTTTCTTACTCTGGAACTATTTGTTTTCACTGTTGCAGATAAACCTGTCTGTATCTGTCTGCCTGTATATCTGTGTCTGTCAGTATCTCTTTGTGTCTGTTTATCTGTCTACTTGTGTGTCTGTCTTTCTGTCTACCTGTGTGTCTTTCTGTCTACCTGTGTGTCTTTCTGTCTACCTGTGTGTCTTTTTGTCTACCTGTGTGTGTGTGTTTCTGTCTACCTGTGTGTCTGTCTTTGTCTACCTGTGTGTGTCTTTCTGTGTGTCTGTCTACCTGTATGTCTGTCTTTGTCAACTTGTGTGTCTTTGTCTACCTGTGTGTCTTTGTCTACCTTTGTCTTTCTGTCTACCTTTGTCTTTCTGTCTACCTGTGTGTCTATTTTTATGTCTACCTGTGTCTGTCTTTCTGTCTGCTTGTCTGTCTCAGAGCCACTCATTAACCAGTAAATGGTCCAAACGTATATATACGTTTTTTCAACATTTGAAAGTATGTAAAAAAAGTAGATCTTCTTTTTGTTTTTCTATATTTGAAAATGTGTAAAAAAAACTTTGATCTACTTCTTTTTTTTATATTTGAAAATATGTAAAAAAAAAATTAGATCTACTTTTGTAGCACTACACATGTGAACGTAGATCTGCTTGGACCGTTTACGGGTTAAGAGTGTAATTGGAATTGAAGATGCCATATTAACCCTTTGACTGTCGCGGCCGTATATATACGTCTTACGAGGTACCGTGTTTGACGTATATATACTCATAAATTCTAGCGGCTTCAAATCAAGCAGGAGAAAGCTGATAGGCCCACATGTGAGAGAATGGGTCTGTGTGGTCAGTGTGCACCATATAAAAAAAATCCTGGAGCATGCAGTGCATAATGAGAAAAAAAAAAACTCCGACCGTTTTGTTTTTAATTAAAATGCCGACTTTGTGGTCTATTTTCGTATAGTATTTATGGTTGTATTCTTGTTTTCTTGGTCTCATTTGATAGAATGGAAAACATATTATGGAAATAGAGTTGATTTTGATTGATTTTACTATAAAAAGAACCTAGAAATGGAGCTCAAAGTAGGGGAAATGTTTGATTTTTGCCAATGTTCAAAAGTAAACAAATGATGCCATTGTCCAATAAATGTCCAACTAGCCATTCTAATATGCAGTCATGAATGGGTTGATGTTATTTATACAATTATTACAGTATTGCAGTAGTCTGCATAATAGTAAGTCTTCTATTTTTTGTTTGAATAAAAATTCAAAATAGAAAGCAAGAGTAATATCAGAGGGGCTTGGAGACATGACTGATGAACAAAGAAAATGTTATTTTAGAGCCAGGAATGTCTGCATTGTTCATTCTGGACCTTATTTTGAAATTGTCATTTTTTAGTTTTCGTGAAATTGGCCAAATTGCAAATTTCTGACCACATTATTAGGTAGTTGAAATCGGTAAATGGGCAGTTTCTTGTACTCAATCAATAGAAAAAATGGCATTCTAAAGAAATAGCTATGAGTTTGGGCGACTGGAACAATGGAATTAGCCGAAAATAGGGCTCAAAGTGGGCGAAATCGCCGATTTGTAAACAGTGCCGAGGTCACTAACTTTGCGAGAGCATAATTCCATCAGTTTTCCATCAAATTTCGTTTTTTTGGTGTCATTACAATCGGGAAAAGATTCTCTATCATTTCATAAGAAAAAAATAATTTTTTTTTTTTAAATTTTGCGACACCAGGAGACACCTCAGGATTGGGGGTTGCGACAGTCAAAGGGTTAATAATGATAACACAATAATAATCACTGAGGTGCATTAAATGTGTATAAAACGTTAATATAGACATTTTGATAATCCATCTATGATTTTTTTCAAAGTTATATAATAAACATGCTATGTAACATATAAATTAACATAAATATGAGACGTTTTTCTGGTCGGCTTGACAGAGTGAACGGAAACCATTCGTGTCTGGGCTGGTAACAACAACAACAACAACAAACCATACCCCCGGCCGGGATTGAACCCGCGGTCATAGTCTCAAAACTCCAGCCCGTCGCGTTAGCCACTAGACCAGCTAGCCACAATAAGATTCACCTTCCTATGGTGTAGAAATATACCTAGTTGGATGAATCTTATTGTGGCTAGCTGGTCTAGTGGCTAACGCGACGGGCTGGAGTTTTGAGACTCTATGACCGCTGGTTCAATCCCGGCCAGGGGTATGGTTTGTTTGCAATCGTGTCATTACGATTTCTTGAGTCAACAACAACAATGTTTGTTTACATAACTTGTGAACCTTCTACACTCACATTCTCTCTCTTGTTTATTCATTTAATCTTGTTTACTTGCCTCTCACTTTACATTAAGACTACAGATATTTTAAGGTAAGTAATGAGTAAGCACTATATTATATTATAGTTTAATAATAATAATAGTAGTAGTACATACGTATTATTGTATTAATAATACAGTAGGGCCCCGCTTTACGGCATTTTGCTTTACGGCGTTCTGCTAATACGGCCATTTCAAATTACAGTGGACCCCCGGTTAACGAACTTTTTTCATTCCAGTAGTATGTTCAGGTGCCAGTACTGACCGAATTTTTTCCCATACGGAATATTGTGAAGTAGATTAGTCCATTTCAGACCCCCAAACATACACGTACAAACGCAATTACATAAATACACTTACATAATTGGTCGCATTTGGAGGTGATCGTTAAGCGGGGGTCCACTGTATGACCAAAACTCGCTATACGGCTCCCCCACCTGACTTTCTAATACGGTCACCGCACCCCACCCGGGTTGTTTACATTGTCTGTGAGATCCGTAAGCACTAAATCTCTGCAGCGCTGTATAGTCCTTGTGGCTTAGCGCTTCTTTTTGATTATAATAATAATAATAATCCATTATGTCTGGAAACTCCAAAATTTTAAGTGTTTTTAAAAGCTATTTCATATTTATATACATATACTCTGATAATTATACTTATGTGTACCTGTACTTAAATAAACTTACATACTGTGCTGGCATGCAGGTACACATTAAACTCAGTAAGTGTGTTTTATGTCTCCAGACGTCATTTTAGTAATGATAATAATCACCGAGTCTCATTTAAATGTCGTATATTACGTTAATATACATATTTTCATTAATCCATCTATGATATTTTTTCAAAATTATATAATAAACACGATGCATAACATATAAAGATGATAAATACACCCCACAATAGAATAAATAAACATAAATATGAGATGTGGTAGCCAGATAACTTGTACAAGTGATGCCAAGAATAACATTTTCTCTAATCTAACATAAGAGAAAATGTGTTACTGGGGGTAACTGTAGAAAATTATTAATTTCGTATGTATGTAAGTAAGTTTATTCAGGTATACACAAATACAGTTACATAGATTATCATACATAACAGCATATGTGTAGAGAACCCAGGATAACCCAAAAAAGTCAAACAGTGTGACTTATATCAATTGCCTTCACTCAGCGTCATTTCTTCTCAAAATGATGTTACATGAGAATGGGAGTGTTCTTCTTTATTTATTCTACCGTATCAATGTAGACACAACCTGTACACAATGTAACTTGTACACAAACTAGACGTGTACACTTTGTTTACAAAACTTACGTTCGCTTGGTTTGTTTACATAACTCTGCGCCTGTCCTCTCTCATGCACTCATTCTTTCTCTCTCATTTATTCGTTTTATCTCATTTACTTACTCCTGACCCTACATTAAGACTACAAATATTATAAGGTAAGTAATGAGTGAACTGTATATACATTTTATTGCTGTGGGATGCTTAACCCTTTCAGGGTCCAAGGCCAAAATCTGAAGTGGTGCCCCAGTGTCCAAGAATTTTCAAAAAAAAAAATTATTTTTTCTTATGAAATGGTAGAGAATCTTTTTGTGAATGTAATAAAACAAAAAGTACGAAATTTGATGGAAAATTGACGAAATTATGCTCTCGTGAATTTTGATGTGTCAGCGATATTTACGAATCGGCGATTTTGCCGACTTTGGCTCCCATTTTAGGCCAATTACATTATTCCAGTCGACCAAATTCTCAGCTATTTCACTAGTATTACTTCTATTTTATCGATTGAGCACAAGAAATCGCCAAGTCAACCGTTTCAACTACAAAATAAAGTGACCAGAAATTGGTAATTTGGCCAATTTAACACAAAGTTCAAAATATTCCAATTTCAAAATAGGGTCCAGAATAAACAATGCAGGTATTCCTGGCACTAAACTAACATTTCCTCTGTTCATTAGTTATGTTTTGAGGCTTTACAAATAAATTCCATTTTGATTTTTTATTCACATAATGAATTTTTATTCACACCAAAAAATAGAAGATTTACTGTTATGCAATATTGTAGTAATTGTATAATATCATCACCACATTTGTGAATG